ACCTCATCTATTCCACACCAATCTAAAAGCTTGCACTTGTCATGTGGTTTAGGGCACATACTCTACAATGTATCAGACTATAATTAGAACATAAAACTCTATCCGGATAATAACACATGCAATTTTCAAATTTTATACCTCATAATCGATTAAAAAGAAACATGCTAGATAATTGACTTATTTACCTTAGGACTGGTCTTATCAATTTCGGGCCCATTCTGCTCATCTTCATATTCCTCATTCTGCATTCTCTAACAACTAAAAAAAATATTATTAATAATAATTGTTAGCAAATCTAGAAACTAACAGAAAAATATATCAAGCATGAAACAGGGGGAATACAATAGAGATAAGTAGACACACTGACAAACGGTTTATAACTACTTGACAAGGTTCATGTGCTCTTCTAAATAACTAAAATGCGAAAAAGGAGACTAAAACACATAATCTGAACGAGATTATGTCCATTTCAATCACATAAAAAGAAGGGGTACTCCTGATTAAATCTGTCTAACTGGATCTTCAGGTTTTTATCTAATCAGATTAGTCTATCTTTCAACTTCTCTGAAAAGGACTCCATACCCCTAAGGTAACATTGATGTCCATATGCAATAACGAGTGGGAAAATTGTCAGAAAAAGAAGAGGTTCAAGGTGAAAAACCTGAAAATATGAAACTTCAAATCTCACCAACCAATCAAGCCTCAGTGGGGTTTCTTTTGTGACAAACAAATACAAACAAAGCATTCAACAAGTAGTACAACAACAACAACGTCTCTACCCCAATTTTTTTTAGGTCTGCTATATGAATCTCTAACCTTCGATATTTGCGCTCATTTGTCAATCCCATTTCTTAGTGTACATCCACGAATTCAGGGTAACAGTCATGTTTCTGCTACTCATGTTATGCACATTTGTTTCATAATTGCATAAACATATTGAGCAGGTAGTAGATTCTCAGAAACAAAAAAAAATGTAGTAACATGCTTTAAACTTCCACTTCAAGTCACAACTCTTACCTACCAAGATCAGAATGCACCATATGTTGTAACCCAAATAAAAATTTGATCAACAGACAAAATGGCTATACTATAACTAGATCTAAACAAGATCATTGGAATACTTATGAATCCAACCTTAAAAAGAAATATTGGTCAAAGGTATAAGAAAAAACCATCAATCAGGCCCTAATAGAACTAATTATTTTCTTCACAAGATAAAATAATTCCATCGAATCATTTTGATATGATTAAGGAGATGCTATAGATTGTTCTCCCCAGAGCCAGTTCATCACCTAGACAGCATCTTGGAGATAGTTTAGCACCAGAAAAATAAGAAGGGGTACTCCTGACAGTTTAGCACCAGTACTAATTGATGGTTATTCTATTAGTTAATTTTTAAGACATGTTAATCATGTTGTTTTGATGAAAGTTAAGCTCTATTTGTTTCTGTCATTATCCTTCAAAAATCTTCAATAATGGTGAAATTATTTATTGAACTGAATGGAAATAACAGAAAGACTTTGCCCAATTATGTTACTCCTTTGGTTTCAGGCTACAGTAACTTCCATTCCGTTCAAGGTGATCTTTTTAATTACCGCAAATCGACCGCTCGATGAAATTTATGTCGCATAATGGATCTCTCGAGCTCACTAGGAAACCCCGCCTATATTTTGATCAGAGTAACTTCACTTTTCCTATCTATATGTTTGGCGGCATCTTAAGTAGCTTTTAAGCTCAATATTAAAAAAAATTAAGACCATTCAACTTTGGGGGGGGGGACTCATCTAAATAAGCTAGATATGGCTAAGTAAACCAATTTTCTACCCATACAAACATTATAAAAATTTTATCATAAAAGTCAAAAAAAAAACACCAAACAATAGCATAGTTTATATGCTACAAAAAAGATTTAAGTTTGACCAAACAAATAACTTTTCTACCCACACAATGTTATAAGTTGTTATTAAGAGCTAAAGATAACCAAAAGCCAAAGCCAGCATAGCTTAAAAGTATCAAAAAGTCCTCAACACCCTCTAAATAATGTGGAAGGGCATAAAACAATGGATAAAATGGTCAAAACACTATTTTCTTCTGCAGTCAAGTGTTTGAGAAAGTTTCAGTGTGACAAGCTATACGCATCATCTTACAGATGAAAATCCCAGCAATTGTAAGCAACTCAACAAGATACAAGTTCTGGAAGAAGCAATGCAGTACAAAATAAGCTATAAATTAAATCATCAATGGCCCAGAGTTAATTATAAATACCTACATAAATGAAGGAACCCACATCCTCATTTTCTCTTTTTGATGCTAAGGGTAATTTTCCAGATATTTTTTTTCACAGAAAAAAATAAAAAAGAAGATAACAAAATATGATGTGAACTAATTTATGAAATAATGGCTTGGATGGCAAATACAGTCCTTTAATTGAAAGTTATATAGATGTACCTGATGATTTCCAACTAATTTATGGACCACAGTCTCCAAATGTTGTATTCTATTTCGGAATTCAGAATTTTCCTCTTTTAGCTGGAGCACATGTTTGTCTCTGGCTTGTAAGAAAGATACTTTGCTTATAGTAACTCCTCTTCCCATTCCTCTTAATCGCCCAGGTTTATCTTTTCCTAATACTTTAGAAAGAGCATCTTCTCTCACATTAGTTGATGAGGATGAAGGTGTAGCAGTTTCAATTTTTTTAAGCTTATCCTGAAAGGTACAACATATATATGTATTACATTATATATACATGTTCTTCTAAAAAAGTAATATATATTCACTCATATGCAAAATTAGTGTCCTTACAATTGTTTCACCAACTGCTGAATTCACCGGTGTACCATCTTTTTTTGTGTGAGCTTTGATCCAAGCTTTAACCCTTGACACACTAGATGGGTCTGCACTATTTCTTTTCTACAATGATACATGTTTAAAAAAAGAAAGACTGATGATATACTCATAACTTTGCCTTAAGAAAACATATATTAATGTATAATGTATTACCATATCAGCTGTTAATCGAACCATTCCCTTGCGACTGCAAGTGTGTGGGACTTGTCTGTGCCTTAATGCCTTGAACTTTTCACTTTTGACCTGGAGACATTGGTCCTTTATCATAATAACATCTCTTAGTATAAGCTAGTGATTAATTATCTCAGAAAAACATACCTTAAACTCTGGGCTTGTTTTTGTCTTGATAAATTTCGCCCAAATTGCTAAAGATGGTATGTTGTCTGGTTTGAGCTGAAGTCTTTGTTCCTTCTTCTTTGTTGCTCGTATTTGAGCAACTAGTCTTGATTTTGAGGCCCGCCAAAGACATCCCATCGATTGAAATATGACATTCTTTTGCCATTCTTCTTCTAATATGAATCTTGCCTGCATTTTATATGCATGAAAGTATTATTAGCTGAAGGACTATATTGAAGGAGATTTTCATATGTTAGATAGCTTATGTAAAATGATAGTAAATTATTACTTGAACTTCTTCCCATAATACAACTTTCAGACCATCATCAAGGTTCCTCCAATCATCAAGTGTTACATGTACATGCTCTCGTACAAGAGGGCCCAAAAACGATGACAAGTGTACTGATCCGGGTCCATATGGTTCACCAGAATCAGTAAATTGAATCTGAATTTGGTTCGCAGGGTCCCTAGCAAGATTTTTCTTTTTTGTTGGACCCCTTTTCTTTTTTATGCCTCTTGCAGCTTTAATTGTATCTTGTGTTGGTGCATCTTCAACTGTATCATCTTCTTGGACCATATCTTCTTCAGGAATATGAATATTTAGAACTTGTCCATCTTGGGGAGCTTCTTGATTGACTTGCGTAAGGCCTTCCATGGCATTCACATCACTCACATAATTATCCACCTAGAAGAAGTAGGTACTCCAATTAAACTATCATTAATTAAGCTTTCATGAATTCTGAAATTAAGCTCTACAAAAAATACCTTATCGGTTTATCGAGTGCCTACATGCAAACATATCATCATCGCATGATAGTGCATTCCAATACATTTTGTCTTCTTTTTTCTAAGTAGTATATACCATTGAACATTACAAATTATACATATTAACAGCTTAGTGAGGATGGTCCTGGTGAGGAACCTAGTGGAGACGAGATGCTTTCTAGCTTCAATGAATGGATTCTACCTGCTAAAGAAGTTGATGGAATGTGGGAAATGTTTTCATTTAGCAAAATTAGTTTATTAAATCCCCTAAAAACTGTACGACTCATGATATCTAATAATTTTAATTATCTTTGCAGCTTAATTTATGAAACTGGCCTCAAACGCAACATCTCCAATTTAGCTTTCTTCAACCTCCACTTTTTTAATAATGAGCTTACAGCTTACCTATATTTGAAATCATCATTCTGATATGACTGTTAGATCCAAAAGCTAAAACTGATGAAATTATACTTGTTGGCATGTCTTGTTTTCCCAAGAAAAAACAAGAAAAATAAACAGTTCTTCCTTTTACGCTGAAAAATAGAACAAATATAGAAAACTAAAATTATAAAAAGCAGAAAAGGATAATATAGGCATATGATCATGCGATAACTATACCATAATATTGTTCTTCCTTTTACGCTGACCTGTCTTTGTAGTCTCACCAACCATCCTCGTTTATCTATATTAGAAAAAATAAAGGTAAGTATCTATATAGTTAAACCTGGTTTCATATGTGAAACAAATTATACATATATCAAAATCACAAATAAACACAGTGACACACATTTAAAGCATGAACAACACCAAAATTATTATAAAGTAGCAGCCAATAATACAAGATAAATCAAACACTTTAAAGTATGATCAACAATCAACCTCCTTACCAACTAGTTCCAATCACACAAGTAGTCCCTCACAGTCCACCCTGACATAACTCTCTGTCTCATAATCATCAATATCCATTTCAATTTCCTGTGGCAAAAAAGATGCATCTGCATTCTCATCATCTGTCTCCAACTCATGGTAACCTCTTGGTGGTGCCTTCATTACTACATAGCAATTAGACGAATCATCTTCTCTTGAATAAAAAAAACCTGTTTTGCTTGAGATGCTAGGATATATGGATCTCTTGCAAATGATACTTGACTCTGCTGTAAGTTTACAAGTGTGAATCCATCTTCTTCCTTAACACCATTTCCTTTATTGGCCCAATGACACTTAAACAATGGAACATAAAATAGATGGTAGTCTAGTAAAATGATATCTATCAATATCCCATAATATGAGACCAGATCAGCCACTTGTGCAGTATCTTTTGCACTTGCTCTACACATGGTTATTGCATCATAAGTCACCCCACTATTTTGTGTTTCCCTGTCAACATCCTTTGTGTGAAACCGTAGCCCATTGATAATGTATCCCTTACATGATAGTGCACTCTTTTTAGGACCATATGCCAACCATCTTAATGTCTTTGAATGATCATTCGAGTCAATAGGAATCTACAAAATATTAATATAAGCGTTAAATGGTGTACCTCAGCTAAGTAATAAATATAAGATCAGATTTGAGATGATTAATTTTAAATAACCTTATTTTTTGTCCATTCTGCAATTTTCTCAGTATGCCGCTTTCAAAGTAAGGTCTGATTTTTTTCAAGTTGTTTGTATTTTGCTTGCAACTCCTCCAAATGCATACTAATAGAACACAAGAACACAAGACCATATGAATTAATAAAACTAATAAATAGAAAAGCAAACTAAATAAGTACATAAAAATAGCAATGTACTTACTCTAAAAATGGATCCATTATTGCTGTGTTCAGTAATACTGAACGATGTGCAATATCTTTCTCTTTATCGGTAAGTGTGATTGAAGTAGTCTTAGATATAGGACGACCTTCAAAAATGACATCATTTTCAAATTCGTCATTGCAAACTTCTTTTTCCTTCACATGTATTGACTATTTTAGAAACTCGCTAAAAAAGCCGATGCACTCTTCAGCTAGGTATGACTCTGCAATACACCCCTCAGGTCTTGCAGGATTTCGGACACATTTTTTTAGTGTCTTCATGTACCTGAATAAAAGAATTTAATCTTGTCCATGATCAAATTAAAATTTCATAATGGATTTCAGCATGAAAAAGAATAATAAAAAAAATCTAACCTCTCAAAAGGACACATCCAATGAAAATGAACCGGACCACACAAGCGTGCCTCTCTTGCTAGATGAACCGGTAAATGTACCATGATATCAAAAAATGACGGCGGGAAAAAGCGTTCCAGTTGACACAAAGTTTCAATGATCTCATTCTCAAGGTCCAGCAACTTTTCTCTATCAATAGGACGCTGGCATAATCTATTGAAAAATCTAGATAATCGAATTATCACTTTTCTAGGCTCTTTCGGTAACAATCCTCTTATAGCAACAGCCAACAATTGCTGCATTAGGACATGATAATCATGAGATTTAAGCCCCATAATCTTATAATCCTCCAATGTTATGCAGTTCACGATATTTGAGCAATAACCATCAGGCCCTTTGAAGTCATATATTCTCTTGCAAAATCTTTTCTTTTCAGACCTTGAAAATGTATGTGGTGCTGGTGGAAGGTACAATCTGCTTCCCTGCTGTTCTGGATGCAAGTCTTTCCTAATTCCAATATCTTCCAAGTCCTTACGAGCATTTATCCCATCTTTTGATTTCCCACTATGCAACATAGTGTTTATTATGCTCTCACAAATGTTTTTCTCTATGTGCATCATGTCTAAATTATGACGTAATAGAAGTTCATGTAAATAAAAAATAAAGAAATACATTAAGCAATTATAAAGCTAAAACAAAATATATAAAAAATATGAAATAAAGGAAAAACAGAACACTAACCTTCCAATACGGTAAAAAAAAAAGATAGATCTTTTCTTCCACCTAGTATGCTCATTCTGATTATCAATGTCACTTGTGTCATCCTCATCCTCATCATCATCACCATCATTCTCATTAATATTCCTTTTTCTTTTTTTGTCTCCACCTTTTCCAAAATCATTTGGAAAATCATTTAGAACAGCAGAAATATTGTGACCTGTTAAGGCTCTGGGCTTGCTGCCATGCTCTACACTATTATCAAACCACGATTTCTTTCTTCGGTATGGATGTGAGGGTTTCAGAAATTTCCTATGACCCATGTATGAAAACTTCTTGCTGAAGCGTAACCATCTATGATGTGTATTTTTCCCACATATAGGGCATGCTTTTCTTCCTTTTGTAGAACAGCCAGCAAGATTTCCATATGCTGGAAAGTCATTTATAGTCCACATCAACATTGTCTTCAAATTGAAAGTTGATTTGCTAAATGCATCATAAGCCTCAACCCCATTCTCCCACAACAATTGCAAATCATCTACAAGTGGTTGCAAATAGATATCTATGTCGTTTCCCGGTTGCTTTGGACCAGGAATCAGCAATGTTAGCATAATATTATCTTTCTTCATGCACAACATAGGAGGCAAATTATAATTCACAAGCATTATCGGCCAACAACTATATTTAGAGCTTAAGATGGAGAACGGGTTGAAACCATCAGTAGCAAGTCCAAGTCTGAGATTGCGTGGATCAGCTGCAAATGAGGGCCATTTATCATTAACCAGGTCCCAAGCTAAAGAATCATCAGGGTGACGCATTTTCCCGTCTATGCTTTTGTTATCAAAATGCCATCTCAAATCTTTAGCCATTTGTGAAGACCTGAACATCCTTTTAAATCTAGGAATAATAGGAAAATATCTCAAAACCTTAACTGGAACGCCTTTTCTGATTTCTTTACTACGCTTATTTATCTTCCATCTTGAAGCACCACATGTTGGACAGTTATCCAGTTCCTCATACTTCTTTCTAAAGAGACAGCAATCATTCACACAAGCGTGAATCTTTTCATACCCCATGTCAAATATCTTGAGGAAGCTTTTAATCGAGGCGGCTGAATCTAGCAAAACATTGTCCTTTGGCAACATACGTTTAATGATACCTAACAACTCATTGAAATGTTTACTTGATAATCCACTCTTGCCTTTGAGTCCATACAAATCTACAATGGCTGACAACTTTGTGTAACTTTCGCAGCCTGGATACAAAGGAGTTTGTGCTTCTTCTAGTCTCCTTATGAACTCGTCACCATGTCCATGTTCAGAAGGTTCATTAATAGGTATAGGCTGAACAAGTTCTTCATCTATAAAGTAGGCAGCTTGGAATAAGTTATATGTCTCGTCCTTAGTGGCTTCATAATCAAGCTTCTCACCACTTTCTTGTTTCTCTCCATGCTTATTCCAATGTGATTTCATTCGGTACGAAAGATCCATCCCCTTTGTAACCAAGTGTTCAAAAATTGTACTTCCATCTTGATGGCTCATATTACGACATTCCGTGCAAGGGCAGAACATCCTTGTAGGATATCCCAAATTCTTTTCAGCTATCTTTACAAATTGTAATGCTTTTTGCTGGTACTCGAGGGTGGATCTATGATTTTTAAAGAAAAGGAGCAAGAACAAAATACATTCCAGATCTAGTTAAATTACTACAATTTTACAAGTATTGGTGAACCAACAGATTAAGATATGATTCTTACCCGTGGAGCCACACCCACTCTTTTTCCTTCATCTTTTCAATGAAGATTTATGCAAGCAATGTCTAACATATGAAAACAAAAATAAACTAATGTCAACATATGAAAACAAAAATAAACAAAAATAAACTGGATGATATAAGGTATGAAGTCCCTTTTGCATGACAACTAACTGGTGGTTTCCATATATTCTTGCTGACCTACTAGTAGTGTTCTCTCATGTTGAATGTTCAAGACGTGGAAGTCTGTTGTTGTTCCAATTAAATTGGAAAGTATGCATGGGGAATGGTTTGAGGATTTGGTAATTGATTTAGTTTTCTCTTGCACTGGTGTTAGTTTTCTCTTGCACTGGATGATATAGTGTATAAAGTCCCTTTTGTATACCATTACAAAGTTAAATTTTATAACTTTATAAGCTTGGATGGCTTGTTGATTGTCTCATAGTAACAGAAAAACAAAATTAAACTAAACCCAGCCTAAAATCCCAAACCCATTCTCATTATCATACCAAGTATACCATTCGAATGAAACATATAATAAACTCAAATCCTTAACCCAGACTAATAGTGAGAAATATGGGATAAGCATTAAAATATATACAAAAAAGAATGTGTTCTGCAATTAGTGGACAGGCAAAGTTGTATTATATTCATTGACATTGACATAAATAATTGCTTTTGTATGAGCAGCGGAGCAGGAAGCACATAATGCTCGAGGAATTCTATGGTTCTTGAGATGTTTATGAGGGCTAATTGAAAATTTTCAAGTACATTTTTTAAGATTCCTGTGAAAGTTTTAGCAAAGTACAGTGGCACGATAGTTTCTGTTTACATTAGGCTATATCTCTTCATATTAAACACAGACCATCCTGCCAACTGCATGCTAATGAGCAGTTGCAAGGAGAAACTTGCTGGACATAATTCCAGCAAATTCAGGTATATATCAAAAAAGAAGAAAGACCAAGAAGCTCAAAACTATGTTTATGCACTAGAGAAGATTTCAAGCAATCAAGATAAAAACCTTGTAGTACACGGCCATATCCAAATAAAAAACACTGAGAAATTGAAGGAAATAACAATAAGCATCCACGAGAGGGAAAAATCTAACCACATTATGACGAAGGCAGAAAACTGCCATAAGAGGAAAAGAATGGAGAGACACATGATGCAAACCAAAAGAACAAGAAACAAGGACCCCAGGTTGATGGAGACTTGATATGGTGCATAACTGGCTGGAGATATATGCTTCACTAAAGCAAAGTAGGGGAAATGCAAGAGGAAGGAAGAATAAAGAACGCACAAACAGCATCAAAATCCAGCACTTCTTCCAATGGAAATCATTCCACTTCAGTAAAATACATGACCATTACTAATAGTCCTGAGTAAATGACGATATTAAATAAAACACTCGTCGCCTAGAATTTTCACTGAAAGGACATTGTGGTTTGGCAAAGCTGGAGATGGACTTGCTCATGCATTAATACAATAAGTTTAGAAATGTTTGCATCAAATGCTAATACACAAATGGAAGCTGCATTATTGAAATGGAAAAGTACACGCCAGTGGTAATGATCTGCAGCACTCCATTAACCGTCAGGAAATGAAATACCCAACTTGGTAATCCAAAACCTTTTGGCATGATTATTGAGGATATCCTTTTATTTCACATATTATGGTATGAATAGAGAGAGGGCACAATAACTTTCACCTATTAATACACTCCCTGCAAGTCTCTAAAGATTCAGCGGCTCATATCTCTCCCGGCTTGGCCCAGAAATCTGCCACAAAAATGATGCACATGATTCATGTTGCTTGGATAGAACATCGCATATATTAACAAATTCTTTTACAAGTTAAACAAACTAATACGCAATTATCATTCAAATTCCTAACAGTAAAACAAAATTAAACTCTTACCCAGTTATCAAATTAAACTCAACAAGAATTTCAAAAGGAATACTGTTCTTCAGATTGCTCCCTGAGCTCCAAGTGCTCTGCATCACAAATAAACCACAAATTCATCACAACTAATCTTACAAAATAACTACCCAAAAATGACATCAAAAATCAAAAGAAAAGGGTTTTCAGATTCTCTTAAACCTTTCAGATTCTCAAATTAATCCCACGAATCTTCAAATTAGAGGGGTTTCGGAGGTGGACGAGAGACGAGGAGGGGCTCCGGCAGTGGACGAGAGACGAGGAGGGGCTCCGGCGGTGGACGAGAGACGAGGAGCCGAGGAGGGGTCTGTCTCCGATGATCAACGAAGAGGAGGGTCGGGTTTGGAGGCGGCAACGACGGCGAGATGCTGCGACAGCCAGTCGGAGGCGACACCGGCGACGACTCCGAGGCGGCAGCGACGAGTCGGAGGGCTAGTAGGGTTTGGGTGAAAGTTCTGGAACGGGAACTGATTATTCGTGGGGGGTTTTAGAAAAATAAAAGGAAACGAAAATAACACCAACCTCTCCCTCGTTTTCAAGGCGCGGGTTTATTTTTCAGTGTCCCGCTTAAGATTTCAACGCGGCTTAACAAAAAAAATGTGATCACTTAGTTATATCGTTTAAAATTTTTCAAACGCTATTAAAAAATAAGGCACATACAATTTATAGCACTTACAATACAAACGCTATCATTCAACGCTATAAAAAAACAGTTTTGTTGTAGTGTTAAACCTCGTTTGACAAACGGACATCGTCAAACAGGCGAACCTCATCGAACGAGCGAACTTAGTCAAACAGGCAAACCTCGTATGACATACGAACCTCGTCAATCGAGCGAACCTCGTCAAACAGGCGAACCTCGTATGACAGACGAACCTTGTCGAACGAGCGAACATAGTCAAACAGGCGAACCTCGTATGACATACAAACCTTATCAACAAGCGAACCTCGTATGACAGACGAACCTCGTCGAACGAACGAACATCATCAAACAGGTGAAGCTCGTATGACAGATAAAGTGAAAAGTACGCCTAACAAAGCGCCACTTAGCGCCTCAGCCCGATTTGCCCCGATCCCCGGCCCATTAGCCCACGGCCCACGGCCCATGACCCACTAGAACTTATGAGGAATTAATTTAAATAAAATACTTCTCGGCTTGCCGTTGACAGGCCTTGAACAAAGGACCTTTTGAAACATCAAAACATAAACTTTCCACTAGGCTACTAAGTATTTATGAAAAGTACTTGTAGTTAATATATATATAGTTTGAAAACTCATTTTGGAAAATAGTTTTGACCAAAAAATCCAACAATCCCCCACAAGTTTTTAAACTAGTATCGTGTTATGGTGCTGTCGTTTCAATCGTTATGCATAAGGTAGACATCGCAAGGACTTGAATCCCCTTTAGACCAACTGAATAGAAGATAGATACATGGTATCGCAGAGACTTGAACCAGCACATGTCTAAAATCCAGCGATCACACAAGATCAAACTTATCTATGGTAGTTTTTACTTTGAACCACACTTGCCTTTGCCTTTGCACATTTATGGCCTTGTGCTAGTCCTGGTTTCTGCTAGGACTCTAGGTATCTTTCCATAAGACACCATAGGAGACGGCCAAATCTCCACCCTGGCATAGGTGAGTTCTTTAGGCATGTTTCCTATCAAACATCCCGTATCTGAAATGCTTTGAACTCATTAAGGCTTAAGAGCCATCCTCTCTCATGATAGGATTCTAGGTGAGTTCTTTAGGTGTGTTTCCTATCTAACACCCTGCATCCAAAATGATTTGGACCCATTAAGGTTTAACAGCTAGCCCCTTTACATGATAGGATTATCGGTGAGCCCTTTAGGCATGTTACCTATCCAACATCCCGCATCCGAAATGCTTTGGACCCATTAAGGCTTAAGAGCCAACCTCTTTACAAGATAGGATTTCACTTGTAAATCTTACTTGACTTTTGAACCAATCATCTTGTCATTCGTAGCGTAAGCTTTGAACTAATAACTTGACGAAATGGTAAGTATTTGTAAGTGTAACGCTCCTCCTCTGGGAGGTACATAAAAATTTGAGCATGGCCTATCTGTAATAAGAAGGGTCGAACTGCTAAATCTTTATGCACATCACAACATAGATATACTGAAGGGCGAAAAATAAAGCAGTGGAGATGCATAAGCAATACCCAGGATTACGAGGCTAACAGCAGAGTCCATAGAATACCAAAATAGAAGGGAACTAAAGGGTAATACCAATATTACAATAATAGTAGTGGCTACAATATTAATACATGTTTTATAAGTCAAAAGTACTACAAAAGTGAACATAAATTAACCCCTACTAAGATTTTCCTCCGGAGCTAATCTTCAAATTCAGGGTCTGCAATGCCCTTATTCTTGCCAGTTATATGACCTGCGAGTGGATTCGGAAATAATTGAGGTGAGCCTAAGTCCCAATAGGTAACCATAAAAATCTCGGGTATAATTCAGGGGAACGAATGAAAATGATGGACTTAGATATCAAACTTGAACAAAGGGATCTCAACATTAAGTTGCCATTCTTATATCATCATCATTGACCGAAGTGAAATAACATGTAAAGATGAACAATCAAGGTCTAATATTCAGGATTCCAAACTCCCTAATCATGGGATAATCAATAAACCATGCATGCCTTTATACACCCACCGGTGAGCGTCCTCACACAGGGCATTGTCCTATCGGGACACTTTACCATTACCACCCACCGGTGAAGCTTACTTCACACAGGGCATAATCCATGAATATAGAACACACACACACACACACACACACACACACACACACACACACACACACACACACACACACACACACACACACACACACACACACACACACACACACACACACACACACACACACACACACACACACACACACACACACACACACACACACACACACACACACACACACACACACACACACACACACACACACACACACACACACACATATATATCTATATATATATATATATATAGGGAGAGGTTCTAATAAAAACCTAGAGAACTAAAAACCAATCCTAACCCTCCAATCTATCTAATCCAATGGCCTA